ATATCCTTTCTTCCAGTCTTCTAAATCCTCCTCATATAAAGAGGGCAGGATAATTTGAGATGTTAATGATTTCTCCTTGTAATTTTTTGTCACCCCATTTCACGAAGTTGGCCCCTTGGTGAAACTTTGTCACCAAAGACAACCTTGCCTTCCTGACTTTTGATTTCTGGACGCCTGAGGTCCTGGTGGGGGTTATGCCCAGTGTGGAGGGAGGGCCTTTATGGTGGGAGAGGAACACACTGCAGACCAATAGTGGCTTTGGAAGCACAGGCATATCAGTCACAGTATCTCACCAGCTGCTGTTTTCCAGGGAGACAGCCTCTAGACTTCTGATATCCCATTTTAATGGAAAGTAAATATGTCTCTCAGTATATATTTTAGGAGCTGGTTTAAAAGGAACAATTTTTATTTACAACCAAACAGCTCAATATATTTTTTTAAAATGACATGAAGGGAAAGCACTGAATTACATCCCAAACACACCTTAGCAAGATGTCAGAATCATATGTAGATGTTTTTAGATACACACGTCAATAAAGGTGATATGCATGTTAGATGTGACAAATAAAGCAACTATTATTTAACAATCAAACTTACTGTTAGAGGACTGGGAAATAATATTTTAAGTATTTTCATCCTAATGTATAAGTTAGGATTATGTTTTAAATGGGCATTTTACTGTGTTTTAATTATCTCATAGAAAATTGGTTAGGGATTTTGTGTTGATAAGAATAATCTTCCTTAAACTTATCTTGGAAAAAAATTTTTTAAAGTAAAGAAAAAAAATAATCTTCCACTCACCATTCAAAAAACTGTACCTCTAAACTCCTATATTACCTACTGTAGATTTTCATAATTATGTATAGCAAATAAAATATTACATATTCTCACAGCACTCTTCCATCTTCTCTAATATCTTTTTATTCTGCTCTTTTCTTCTCTAGCACATGAATATATCTTTTGAAATAAGGCTGACTACTGTGTAAGAAGGGGATGCAATTATTTTTTGGGAGATGACATTTATGTGTTTTCCAATCTCTGTACCAAAAAGACGATAAAAATTGAGGATCATGTCAATTAAGATATTTAGAAGAAAGAAAATAATCAGAGACATGAACAAAGACTGATGTACAAAATTTCAGACTTACTAGGAAAAAATGGAAAAAACTTGTGAATCAGGAAAATAGGTAAATAAAACCCAATTTAGCTATCTGTTGGGAGATCACATCCTTGTAAATCGTATTTGTTGTCACATTTAATGACATAGGAAGATGGTCATGCCACATACAACATTAGATGCAGAGAAAATAATACTGTATATACACAGTTTTCATTGTCATTTTGTAATGTACAAGTAGATACACAGTGGATGCCTCTGACTGCTGTAATTATGGGTAACATTTTCTTCTTTAAACATTCAGACATTTTTGCCATTGCTGCAGTGAGCTCCTACTTACAATTATACATAGGGGAAAAGTGATAAAAAATATTTAGGGGAAATCTTCTTCAAGTTAATTCTGCCAACATTATCATAACTGAACTTCCCAAATCAAAACTGTATAGTAATAACTAACACAGTTCTGTAGAAAAAAATGACCAAAATCTTTCACTATCCAATTAGGGTTTAATAGCATTTTGAACTCAGAATTCTGGAAGTAAGACTCTTACAGAACAATCACTTTCTATAACAGCTCAATTCTGGTTATTGTGAAATACCAACTGTCAAGGCCTTAAAGACATACTTAACATAAAAAAATGATATTTAATTATTCTAAAGTAGAGCTTCCATTAGTTAGCAATTAAATGTAATTCTAAAAAGTGAAACTGGGCTGGGTGCGGTAGCTCATGCCTGTAATCCCAGAACTTTAGGAGGCTGAGGCGGGTGGAACACAAGGTCAGGAGTTCGAGACCAGCCTGGCCAACATGGTGAAACCCTGTCTCTACTAAAAATTAGCTGGGCATGGTGGCATGTGCCTATAATCCCAGCTACTCAGGAGGCTGAGGCAGGAGAATTGCTTGAACTGGGACCCGGGAGGTGGAGGTTCCAGTGAGCCAAGATCGCACCACTGCACTCCAGCCTAGGCTACAAAGTGAGACTCTGTTTCAAAAAAGAAAAAGACAAAAAAGAGGGATTCCCCGCTCTGGGTTCCCCTCCCACAAGAGCATGGGAGCTGTTCTCTCTCTATCTCTCTCACTCTAATAAATCGTTCTTCTAAACATAGAAAAGAAAAAAGTGAAACTAAAGAATGTGACAAAGGCTTGCTATGAGAGATTGAATCACTAATAAAAAAGCTCCCTAACAAAGAAACGCCCAGGACCAGATGGATTCACTGGTGAATTCTACCAAATATTGAAAGAAGAATTAATGCCAATCCCTCTCAAGCTCTTTCAAAACAATGAAGATGAAAGAACACTTCTAATTTTGTTTTATGAGGCCAAAAACCCCAAAACTACAGGCTAAAATCCTTAATGAATACAGATTCAAAATTTACAACAAAATACTAGCAAACTGAATCCATCAGCACAATAAAAGGATCATACATCATGACCAAGTGGGATTTATCCCTGGGATGCAAAGACAGCTTAACATATGAAAGTCAGTTAACATGATACACCACAGTAACAGAATGAAGAATAAAACTCACATGATCATCTCAAATGCAGAGAAAGCATGTAACAAAATTCAACACGTTTTCATAATAAAAACACTTAGCAAACTAGGAAAGGAAGAAAATTAACTCAACATAATAAAGGCCACATATGGAAAGCTGACAGTTAACATCATGCTCAACAGAGAAAAACTGAAAGCTTTTCCTCTAAGATCAGGAACAAGGCAAGGATGACCACTTCTATATTCAACATAGTACTGGGAGTTCCAGCTAGAGCAATTAGGCAAAAAAAGAAATAAAAGGTATCCAATCGGAAAGAAAGTAATAAAAGTGTCCCCGTCTGCAGATGACATGATCTTATAGATAGAAAACTCCATAAAAATTTTTTCAATACACTAACAACAAACTATCTGAAAAAAATATGAGAAAAACAATCCCATTGACAACAGCACCAAAAAGAATAAAATATCTAGGAATAAATTTAATTAAGGAAGTAAAAGATTTAAATATAAAAACTATAAGACAGAAATAAATGGAAGAATAATGTTCATGAATTTAAAGACTTACTGCTAACATGTGAATACTACCCAAAGCTATATACAGATTCAACAGAATCCCCATGAAAATCCTAATGGTATTTTTTACAGAAATAGAAAAGATAATCCTAAAATTCCTATGGAACCACAAAAGACAAGGAATAGCCAATTAATCTTGAGAAAGAGTAACAAAGCTGGAGACATCACATTTTCTGATCTTAAACACTTTCTGATCTTATATAAAGTTACAACAATCAAAACATCATGGTACAGGCAAACAACAGTGGAACAGAACAAAGAGTCCAGAAATGAACCCGCACATATACAGTCAACTGATCTTCTCTCTCTCTCTTTCTTTCTTTCCATGGAATCTTGCTCTGTCACCCAGGCTAGAGTGCAGTGGTGCACTTACAGCTCACTATAGCCTCAATCTTCTGGGCTCAAGTGATCTACTCTGAAGCTTTGTCACCAGAAAGTACATTTAATTTTCCCAACACATGAGAGTATTCTGTACAACCCAGAGCTGTACTAGGGACACAACAAGGAACAAGACAGACATGGGCCCTGTCATCACGAAGGTAACACAACAGAAGGACTAGGATTAAAAAAGGAAAATCAATATGGAGTGGTAGAAGAGTTCAAGACTGGAAGCCGAAGGCAGTCAGGGCTGCTGTGACAGATGACGGCCTCGGCAGGGATAGTGGCTGCTAGGCTGAGAAGAGTGGAAGATTAAAAAGATCCAGAAGAAGTAAAATCAACAGGGGTTGGCCATTAGGTAAGAGTCAAAGATTATGTTAAGGTTTCTACATCAGGAAAACAAAATGAGATGGTTTGGGGAGAGACAGGGTAAGTTCACTTGTAGGCATGTTGGGTTTATCTTGCCTGAAGGATATGAGAAGGCTCTATCTAGCAGACATCTGGATGTATGGGTCTGAATTTTTAGAGATCTGTCCTGTAGGCTATGAGCTAGAAGGTAGCCAGAAACAAAAACCACTAAAGAAGGTATGGTTGCTCAGGGAGAATAGAACCTAGTATAGAAACCTGAAAGTCCAAGAGTCTGAAAGATACAGAAAAAGAGATCAGAGGAGAAAACCAGCAGAGTGTGGGTCACAGAACCAGATCTTTTCCTGTTAAGGCATCACTATAGACTGTTTTCCTAATTTTCTCTGGATTCTTTGGACATTTTTAGTATTACAAACTGAAAGACAGTCATATAAACAAAAATGTTGACAAACATAATATGGCCTTTCTATATATCAAAATCAGCATGTGCTTATAGTATACACACACACAAAAAAAGAATGACTATAAAGGAAGTTTAAAAATAAGTGATATCAGGTAATAACATGCTTTCAGGACATAATACCATATTTTAAAACCCATAATAAAGAAACATAAGGTAAAACTATATATTATTTATATTTCTAAAATATAATACATTATCTTTGTATGTACAATTTATAAAGTATTTTTATCATAATACAATTCTTACATAAAAGTCATAATGTAGGTTAAGAGGAATTTTAATCCCCCTTCTGCCAATGAAGAAAATGATGCTCAGAGAGGTAAAGGCTTTCCTAAAACATCAGCCTAGAGACTGGCAGAGCTCTTTCAATAATGGCATGATGTTCTCATATAGTTCAATATTAGATGGGGGAAGGATTTCCCATCCTATAAATTTCAAGAAGTGTAAGAGGGTATGCATGTGAGAAAGTGAGTGAGAACAAGTGAGATACAGAGAAATGAACAAGGAATGAGAACTCCATGGACCATCTTTACTTTCATGGGGCTGGGCGTATAAAGATCCTTTCCCAGGGGATGACTCTAGACTGAGTACAGGATGCAGTGAACTCACCTAATCTGCTACGTCTAATCTCCTCTGGTGAGACAGGCCGCAGCTTTCTTTCTGCTTTAATTTCTTCTAATATTCTTTCATGGAGGCTGCGTGGCCGTGGTGGGGTTGGTTTCAGTTTTCTGGCTGAGGCCTTGAAAATAAGCAAAACGGCTAGAGACTTGAGTAATTAAGTAATTTTTACTGAAGTCCAGTCATATAGTATAGTATTATAAATTACATTTCATTGATTGAAACACTGCTTAATAAAAGAGTATTTTCAAGTCATTAAATATTAAGATTCCTAAAGCAATAGGGAGATTATTAGATGTCAGAGTGATTTGGTTATACATGCTCAAATTTTCTTTTATTGCTTATAGAAGGGGTCTCGCTCTGTTGCCCAGGCTGGAGTGCAGTAGTGCAATTTCAGCTCAATGCAACTGCTGCCTCCTGGGTTCAAACGATTCTTATGCCTCAGCCTCCTGAATAGCTGGGATTGCAGGCACATGCCACCACATCTGGATAATTTTTGTATTTTTAGTAGAGACAGGGTTTCGCCATATTGGTCAAGCTGGTCTCAAATTCCAGACCTCAAGTGATCCACCCTCCTCGGCTTCTCAAAGTGCTGGGATTACAGGATGAGCCACTGTGCCTGGCCTACACCTCTGAACTTCTAAGCTCAAGGGGTCCTTCTGCCAGAGCCTCCCAAGTATTTGGGATTCCAGGCGCATGTCACTGTGCCTGGCTTGCTCAACTAATTTTAAGCAGTTATAATTATGTTCCCTATATCCTAGTGTGATAGGCAATCAACTGCAATATTACTACTGCAATATTACTATCACTATTGCTGTGTGTGTGTGTGTGTGTGTGTGTGTGTGTGTGTGTGTGTGTTTTGTTTTTGGGACAGGGTTTTACTCTGTCATTCAGGCTGGAGTGCAGTGGCACAATCATGGCTTACTGTGGTCTTGACCTGCTAGGCTCAAGTGATCCTTCCACCTCAGCCTCCTGAGTAGCCAGGACAACAGGTGTGTGCCACTGCACCCTGCTAATTTTCTTTTTTCCTTTCATTTCTTTGTAGAGACAGGGTCTCTATGTTGCCCAGGCTGGTTCTGAATTCCTGGGTTCAAGCAATCCTCCCATCTTGGCCTCCCAAAGGGCTGGGATTACAGGTGTGAACACCCCACTTTACCATTTTAGTAACTTTTAAAGTAACATTTAGTAACATTTTTTAGTAACTCACCATAATCTTCTTAGATTATTATTATCTCCATTCTATAATTGAGGAAATAAAGGCTCTGGGAGGCTGATTAACTCCCTTATAGACATATGGCTGCTAAATTATGGAGCCGGTATGCAAGTCCAGGTTCACATGGTCCATGTTCCTTCTATTCTACCATGACCTCCTGTCGTAAAATCATTTCCTAGGTGGCCCTCTTGCCTTCTTTAGAAAAGATTTATAAATGTGATCATTAATTATGCTTTAGTTGTATATAAACTGAGAAATGCTTTCTAGTTACTTTATGTACATTGATTTGAGAGACTTTTGTGAGCACTGGCGATTAAGCCAGGTAAAAAAGAAGAAACAAAGAACAGAAGAAACACAAACTAATGTTCAAACAGATTAGAATATTCTGAGGCTATGGTTGCTGCAAAGAACTCTGTTAACAGAGGAACATGATAATTAACATAGAAGTGGATGTTCAGCAGGGTGGATTTATTATAAAATATGTCAATATGACAATTTAATCATGGAGGGGTGGCTGCATCCTTAGTAAACTGGAAGGGCAATCCACTCTGGGACTATCTGGTATTACATTTAGCTGATATCTAGGAGTTATGTGGCCAGATTTTGCACCACGACCCAGGTTGTTTTGAGTAAAAACATCCTAAGACAGCCTTGTATTAAGTAATTTTAAGATTTTTCAGTGACTTAAGAATGTAATTTACAAGTCTAGCTGTGGTGGCTCATGTCTGTAATCCCAACACTTCAGGAGGCCGAGGTGGGAGGATTGCTTGAGGCCAGGAGTTTGAGAACAGCGTGGGCAACATGGCAAAACCCTGTCTCTACAAAAATTTAAAAGTTAGCCTGGGCATAGTGGTACACATCTGTGGTTCCAGCTACTTGGGAGGCTGAGGTGGGAAGATCACTTGAGTCCCAGGGGTTACTCCAGCCTGGGTGACACAGTGAGACTCTGTCTCAAAAATAAAAAGAATATAATTTATAGCTGGGCTTCATCTTTATAGAGTAAAAAGGTCAGAGGAAAACTGAGCTCTAGAGATGACACCCTAGAATACAATAATTCATTATGGTATCTCCAATCTAGAGGACTATGTCAAATTACATACTGGATTTAAAGGAGGTCTGGATCTGATGAAGTCGAGGATGATTTCATGAGCACTCTTTTTTAACCGAGGGGGAATATCACCATTCACCTAAAAGGAGACAAAAAGTAGAAGATTCACGTGACTATGTAAGATTATCATGAATTTCCTGGGTATAGCTGTCATCTCAAATATGCCACAAAATTAGTGAAGTGTAATTACCAAAGACATATTTCAAATCAATAAAGTGAGGAGTAAATGGCTGAGTGATTCAGAGAAAAAAACCGTGAAACTGAAGAAAATCCAAGTTTAAGTCTATTACTCTGGGAAATTTTAACAAAAAGTTTCTAAAATTATGAATGTAAATGGAATAAATAATACTTAAGCTTATTAAATATTTTATAACTTAAAAAACTTTTCACCTCTTATTTTCCTCCTTTTAAAAAACCTAGGTAGGCTGGGCGCAGTGGCTCACACCTGTAATCCCAGCACTTTGGGAGACCCAGGTGGGCAGATCACCTGAGGTTGGGAGTTTGAGACCAGCCTGGCCAGCATGGTGAAACCCTGTCTCTACTAAAAATACAAAAATTAGCCAGGTGTGGTGGCAGGTGCCTATAATCCCAGCTACTTGGGAAATTGAGGCAGGAGAATTGCTTGAACCTGGGAGGCGGAGGTTGTAGTGAGCCGAGATGGCACCACTGCACTCCAGGCTGGGCAACAGAGTGTGAGACTCCATCTCAAAACAAAACAAAACACCTAGGTAATAGAAAAAATAAAAACGGAGCCACAATTCACATTTTGTAAATAAAACTCAAATGCAGAGCAGAGGTATCTGCCTACATCCACAGAACTTTTAAGTAGAAGAGCTATTGTGGAGGACCAGTCTGTCTCTGATTCTACTCTAATGTCCTCTCTTTTTAAAGTAATGTGTTAAAAATTTTTTTTCTTAAATATTTTTTTAAAATCCAGAAAACCACAAGAAGTAACAACTTAAATTCCCACCTGACTACTTAGAAGCTACAGTCATGACCAGTTTGTCTTATTTGCTTCCCAGTCTTGTTTGAACAAAATAGAACCTCAATGGCCACTCCCAGGCCCAGCCCCTTCCCCAGACATGGCCACCATATTGAGCTCAGAGTGTGTGGCAAACCTGCTGGGGCACACTCAACATCCACTATCCTCCCTCTCCCCCCGCCCTGAACGAGGGCAGGATGGCCCAGAGCAAACTCAGAAATAACTGCCGCTGCTTGAGCCAAGACAGACATATGACGGCTGGTTTTACGGAGGGTGACCAAGAAGCAGAATCAGTGGCCTACCGTGGTACCACCCACTACTTCTGGATTTCATATTATGTAGATTTTAAAAAACCTTATTGTATAAAACAATTTAATCAGACTTTTCTATTACTCATTAGTCTACTCCTGAATAGAATAATATGTATCTTTCTGGCTAATTTTCACATGCTTTCTTTGTATCCTAAGAGCAGGAATGAGAATGGATTAACGGAAGCCAAGGCTCTATGTTTCATTCCCAAAACAAGCACATTAACTGCAGTCTCCTCAGTAGTCAGAAGCTGTATCCTAGGTCCCAACTACCGATGTGGGACAATGCTCCTGAGGGAGGCAAGCAGGCCAGTATGGACCTAAGTCAGTACGAGTGGAATGCTTGGGACCAGAATGTCTCAGATTTTTAAATATTTACATTATACTTATCCAAAAATCTGAAATGCTCCAATGAGAATGTCTTTTGAGTATTACAATGGCACTCAAAAAGTTTGTTGGAGCACTTCAGATGTTCAGGTTTGTGATACTAAACCCGTAATAAGAAGTGGCTGTGTGAAAACCATTCTGCTGCTGGGTCAGTGAAATTATTTTCCTGTAAGTAAACAAGCTCTCTGAAGTGAAATGAGAAATGATTCCTGGATGAACACAAATAGTAGATGCTTAAGTAAATAAGATCAGTTATAGAAACTTGGTATTATTTTTGAGCAACAATGCGATAAACAAACAAAAAACTTTTTTGTATTTTTAGCAGAGATGGGGGTTTCACCACGTTGGCCAGGCTGATCTTGAACTCCTGACCTCAGGTGATCCACCCACCTCGGCCTTCCAAAGTGCTGGGATTTTGGGCATGAGCCACCATGCCCACCCCAACAAAATATTTCTAATACATAAAATGATTCCCTTTGAAAAATTTAAAACATTTACCCTGTACTCAGTCTTGTTTTTGAAATAATTTTCTTTTTTTAGCCATTGCCCAGGTTAGAGAGCAGTGGCATGACCACAGCTCACTGCAGTCTAGACCTTCCCGGCTCAAGTGATCCCTCCACCTCAGCCTCCTGAGTAGCTGGGACTACCCCAGCTAGTTTTTAATTTTTTGTAGAGATGGGGGTCTATGTTGCCCAGGCAGGTCTTGAACATTCAGGCTCAAACGATCCCAGCACTTGGCCTCCCAAAGTGTTGGGATTATAGGTGTGAGTGACTGCACTCTGCCCTTTTATTTTTATGGAGATGGGGTCTCACTAAGTTGTCCAGGATGCTCTCAAACTCCTGGGCTCAAGCAATCTTCCTGCCTTGGCCTCTCCCAAAGTGTTGGATTGCAGGCATGAGTCACTGTGCTTGGCCTTTTATTTTCATCTTAAATAAAGCAGAACCATTAATGATGACATAAGACCACAACTAGTAACCTACAAAACTAACTTACAGTTTAGTGATTGATATTGGGCCCCTAATGAAATTTCAAAAGGTGTGAGATAAGGGCCAAACGTCCTTCTTTGCATGTTGTTAACAAGTTGTTCTAATATCATTTGATGAGGAGACCTATTATTTCTCTATTTAATGGTCTTGGCACCCTTGTCATAAATTGATTAAACATAGGTGTATGGGTTTGTTTTTGTACTCTGGATTCTGTTTTTCTATCCTACACTGTTTTAGCTACTATAGCTTTGTTGTAAGTTGTAAAATGGGGATGTGTGAGTCCACCAACTTTTTCTTTTTCAAGATTGTTTTGATTATTTGGGATTTCTTGAGATTCCATAAGAATTTTTGAATCGATTTTTCTATTTCTGCCAAAAAAAAAAATGACATTGGGATTCTGACAGAGAATAATGTTTGACCCTTGCCTCACACCATTATATATATAAATTAACTAAAAAAAAGAGATTAAAGACCTAAATATAAGAGTTAAAACTATTTATAAATGTCTCAGATGAGAACATAAGGGAAGATCTTCATGAACTGGATTTGGTAATGAATTCTTAGATATGACACCAAAATCACAAGCGACAGAAGGCAAAAATACATAAACTGTATTTCAGCAAAATTAAAACCTTTTGTGCATCAAAGGAAACTAACAAGGAAGTGAAAAGACAGTTTGCAGAATGGGAGAAAATACTTGCAAATTATGTATCTGCCAGTAGTCCACTATCCAGAATATATAAAGAATTGTTACAACTTAACAGCAAAAATACAAACAACCCAATGAAAAAATGAGTACAACACAGCCATTAAAAAAAGAATGAAATCATGTCCTTTGCAGCAGCATGGATGGAGCTGAAGGCCATTATCCTAAGTGAACTAACTCAGAAACAGAAAACCAAATACCACATGTTCTTACTTGTAAGTGAAAGCTAATAATGAGTACACATGGACTCAAAGACAGAAACAGTGAGCATTCCAAAAGTGGGGAGGTTGAGAGTAGGGGGTCAGGGTTGAAAAATTACCTGTCAGGTACAATGTTCACTATTTAGGTGATGAGTATACTAGAAACCCAATCTCCACCAGCATGCAATGTAACAAACAGGCACGTGCACCCCCAAATCTAAATTAAAAATTTTTTAAATACAAAATCTGAACAGACATTTCTTCAAATATATACAAATGGTCCACAAGCACATCAAACATGTATGACGTGAGTCATCAGGGAAACGCAAATCAAAACCACCATGAGATATCATGTTACACTGCTAGGGTAGCTATAATTAAAACCAAAATGGACAACAGCAAGTGTTGGCAAGGATAGGAGAAACTGGGGCCCTCATACACTGCTGGTAGGAATATTAATTGGTTTAATTGCTGTGGAACACAGTTTGGCAGTTTCTCAATAAGCCAAACATAGAACTACTATATTATCCAGCCACTCCACTCCCAGGTATATACTCCAAATAACTGAAAACAGGTATTCAAACAAAACCTTGTACAAGACTATTCACTGCAGCACTACTCATGTTAGTGAAAAGAAAAGAACTCTATCGGAAAAAACCCAAATGTCCATTTGGGTCATGAATAAACAAATTATGATATATCTGTACAGCCATAAGAAGGAGTAAAGCACCTCACCAGGCGCGGTGGCTCACACCTGTAATCCTAGCACTTTGGAAGGCCGAAGAGGGCGGATCACCTGAGGTCAGGAGTTCAAGACCAGCCTGACCAACATGGAGAAACCCCATCTCTACTAAAAATACAAAATTAGCCAGGCATGGTGGCACATGCCTGTAATCCCAGCTGCTTGGGAGACTGAGGCAGGAGAATTGCTTGAACCTAGGAGGCAGAGGTTGTGGTAAGCCGAGATCACACCACTGCACTCCAGTCTAGGCAACAAGAGTGAAACTCCACCTCAAAACAAAAGAAGCGGTAAAGTACCTCAACATGATTTAGTATATTGTATAACCTTGGCAATATACTAAATGGTACTGAACTGTACATTTAAAATGGGTAATTTTATGTTATGTGAATTTTATCTTCATTAAAAATATATATAATAAAAAAGAAAACTGCAAGAAAAAAATCAGAGTTATTTTAAAAGCCTTTTAGGCTAGGTGTGGTGGCTCATGCCTATAATCCTAGCACTTTGGAAGGCTGAGGCAAGAGGACTGCTTAAGCCTAGGAGTTCAAGACCAGCCTGGGCAACATAGCAAGACCCTATCTCTACAAAAAATTAAAAGAAATTACCATGTGTGGTAGTCTGCACTTGTAGTCTCAGCTACTCAGGAAGCCGAGGTGGGTGAACTGCTTGAGCTGGGGTGGTCAAGGCTGTGGTGAGCCGTGACTGTGTCACTGTACTCCAGCCCAGGCAAGAGAGCAAGACTCTGTCTCAATCAATCAATCAATGTCTTTTATTTACCAAAGGAAAAACATAATTTTCTCTGTTCGTAAACATTTTCCATTTGGGATGCACAGTTCTTTGTCATTCTGTCTATCACTCACCATTACTTCCCTAAGCCTCACTTAGGGTGCTTATAACATACAGATTCCTAGAACTGTTAAATCAGCAACCTCGAAAGGAATCTATCTTAATTCTTAGTATGACTACTATTTAGCACAATTATTTTCTCTGATAAAAAGAGAAAGATTCCTGCAGTGTAAAACTATCCGCTAAAAACTAAGAAAAACAAACAACAAAAAAAAAAGATTTAGCAATGTCAAAGATGACAGGTAAAATACATTAATGATAAAACAAACAGCAATGTTAATGATCTATTAGGACTTATTTTAACACTAATATGAATTTTTTAATAACTCCTTCTGGATAAGAAGGAAAATCACCTGAGATTAACATTAAGTGCTCACCCAATTAGAGAGGACAAAGTTCTAATAGGTATATATTTGAAAAAGATAACCCAGTATTGGCAATAGGAATGGTCCTGCGAAACTAATAAAAATGTAAACTGGCACAACCCTTCTGGAGAGAAATTTTGCAAAATATTAAGTACTAAAATTTAAAAGGTACATTATTAAAAAAGAAAATGTGCATTTTATTTGGTCTATTCATCTTACCAATAAAAATTTAAACCATGGTGATAATTGGATGTTTGCATTTGAATGTTCATCATAATACAGATTAAAACAATGAAAACTGGAAATTATTAATAGGGGGTTGGGTACACAAGCCACAGCACACACATCCAAGGAAATACCCTGTGTGTTCCTCCAGATACAATCTTTCGTCTTCTTTTAAATGCTTCTTTAAAGAAACTCATACTGTATACTCACTATCACCATTGCCTTACCTACCACCCTAAAATCTGAGGTTTCTCTCTTTTACTTTAATAAAAGAATCAAATAATTTCCATGTTGCTAAATCTGTTAACCATTTCACAGTGCTCATTTGACCTCTCTGAAACACTGCCTGCTCTTTGTAGCTGCACCTCCACTTCCCCTGACTTTCCAGCCTTCTCTCTGGCTATGCCTTGCTCGTCTTTGTTTTGGCAGATTCTCCTACTCATCCTTCAGTACTGAGGCTGCACAGCTTCTGTCCTGAGCTGTCTTTTCATCTCACCTCTCCAGTCTCCTGCATTCTGTTCTATCCTCTAATGATGGCAAGTTGTTTTTGTTGTTCTCATGTGTCAGATCCCATTGTTTCTTGGTCTTTGAATACAATGTTTTGTGTGTGTTTGTGTGTTTTTTCACCCCCTACTTAGCTCCTCCCCTGCTGGTTATCAGTGGCTCCCAAAATACTGGAAGCTTTGAGAGAACAGAGATTGTAATATGTTCTTCCAGAGTCAGAGTAAGGTCTACTACATGAAAAGTGCTTAACACATATTTATTCAATTAAAATGAAATTAAGAAATACAAACAGCTAGCAAAGGTTTTTAAATGTTTAAATGCATGAAAGAAATGTAGATTTTAAAAATGAAACAATATTTTCTTTCAGTCAAATTGGTCAGCCCCAAAGGATACCCAGTTTGTGCAAAGGTGTGAAGCAATGGGCAAAACTATTCTGTTATAAATAATCATCATCCCAGTATTTCTGAGGGTGACTGGGCAATATGCACGTAGCACACAGCATAGGCTTTGCTGGGGCCAGACAGAATAAGGCTGACCCTCAGCTCTGCCTTGTAACCAGCTGTCTGAACTTGGGATGTTACTACTGAGCATCTCTAAATTTCAGTTTCCTCATCTGTAAAGTAAATCAGATTTGATGAAAAGTGAAATTAGTTAACATTAATAGTATAATGTTATATATAACATATATAAATATATATTTATATATTTATATATAATTATATTCTATATATTTGTTATATAAATATATACAAAATAATTATATTTATTATAAATAAATATAAATTTATGCTATAATGTTGTATATACTATAATGTTATATATAATAACTAATATTATATAACAGTTGAAATGCTATAGCTTATTAAAATTAACAAGCAGCTCAAATAGCCACTTAAACCAATTTACTACAAAACCAAGTGATATGGTTGGGCACAGTGGTTCACACCCATAATCCCAGCACTTTGAGAGGCTGAGGTGGGCAGATCACCTGAGATCAGGAGTTCAAGACCAGCTGGGCAACATGGCGAAGCCCCGTCTCTACTAAAAATACAAAAATTAGCCAAATGTGGTGGTACGTGCCTGTAATCCAGCTACTTGCGAGGCTGAGGCATGAGAATCACTTGAATCTGGGAGGCGGAGGTTGTAGTGAGCTGAGATTGCGTCACTGCACTCCAGCCTGGGTAAAAACAGTAAGACTGTCTCAAAAACAAAAAACAAACAGGTGTTACATGTTTCATAAGAACTTTCCAATATAAAATAACTTTGATCAAACTCCCTCAAAAACGTGGATGGAATTCATTAATCCATCCCGTAACTATTTATTGAGCACTGTATTCAGTATTTGGTTGCATGTCAGGCACATGTTCTTGTTAAAGGGGATAAACAGTGAGAATAACTAAGTTCTTGTCTTTGTAAGGGAGACAGACAATAAATCTGGAAATACATGGCAATTTCAGCTAGTGAAACATGAGAGCAGAGAGAGAAGACTTTTCTAATGAGGGGAAACTTGAGCACAGGCCTGAAAAGTAAAGAGACAAATTATATGGCTATGTGGGAAAGGACAGTTCCTGAGAGAAGGAATATCCAAGGCAAAAGGGTCTATTGCAGGAGCACACCAGGCACTGCTGAGACACTGGCATAGATCAGGGCGATTAATGAGGAGAACCCAGCAGGGAGGCATAGTAGGAGATGAGGTCTGAGAGGTAACCTGGATCCAGCTGTGTAGGCTGTGCCAGCCACGGTAAGGACATAGAGTTTCTTCCGAGTGTGATGAAGAGCCAGAGGAAGATTCTGAATAGAGCAATAACACGATCGTATCTTTTACTTAAGAAGGCTACTTGGCTGTTTTTGGGAAAAACAGGTTGAAAGGGGGCAAGGGTAAAAGCAGGAAGGCCACTTAGAGGTTACTGTCATAGTCTGATGAGAGATAATGGTGGCTTGGAATAGAAGATATTTTGGCCAAGTGCTCACGGCTGTAATCCCAGCACTTTGGGAGGCAGAGGCAGGTGGGTCACTTGAGCTCAGTCAGGGATTTGAGAGAAGCCTGGGCAACATGGTGAAACTCCGTTTCTACAAAAAAATACAAAAAACACTAGCCGGGCGTGGTGGTGCACGCCTATGGTCCCAACTACTAGGGAGGCTGAGGTGGGAGGATCCCTGGAACATGGGAAGTTGAAGCTGCAGTGAAGCTGTAATCGTGCCACTGCACTTTAGCCTGGGTGACAGAGCAAGACCCTGTCTCAAAAAAAAAAAAAAGATACCTCAAGTGGAAATGGAGAGAAGTGGTCAGAATCAGGTTATAGTTTAAAGACAGAGCTGTACGAATTTGCTAATGAACTAGATATTCCACTTCTAGGAATGTAAGGATTTCATGGTGGCTATTTGAAAAGATTTACATACAAAGATACACAAAATATGCTGCTTATAATGGGACACAAGATGATTAGTTTAATAAACTCTGGAATAGCCATAAGCTAGAAAAGACTAGCCATTTAGAAATGATAATGTTGAATAAATAATGACATGGAAAAAACAATCACAATATGTTAAGCAAAACAACTGGTAATAAAACAAAGCATTCTATATTATTTTGTCCAAATAAAGTGCAGAGAAACAAGGCTAACAGTTATCAATCATCATGTTAACAAAATTTCTCTCTGGGTTATGGAATTATATGTTCATAACTTTCCTTCTTTAAGCTTAATGTACTTTCCAAATTTTCTACAATAATCAAGTATTACTTGCATAAAAAGAAATAATTTTAAAATTTTAATATTAAAACTATTTTTAATTAATGCAATTATAGATGAATAACCATTTGAGTCCATTAATATTTTTTTGTTTTTCTTTTTTGAGGCAGGGCCTCACTCTGTTGCCCAGGCTGGAGTGCAGTGGCTTGATCTTGGGTCATTGCAACCTCCACCTCCTGGGTTCAAGAGATTCTCTTGCCTCAGCCTCTCAAGTAGATGAAACTACAGGCGTGCACCACCACACTCAACTAACTTTTATATTTTTTGGTAGAGATGGGGTTTCACCATGTTGGCCAGGCTGGTCTGGAACTCCTGACCTCAGGAGATCCACTCGCCTCGACCTCCCAAAGTGCTGGGATTACAGGAGTGAGCCACCACGCCTGGCATAACAGTTTTGTTACTTACCATCACTTTTCGCAAAGTATATCTTTTGCAGCGAATGTCATCCATTAGCATCTCATAAGGGGTGAGCTGATATTCAATGGGCAACGGATTGTACTGCCGTTCTTGGACCTTCTTAAGTTTTACCCCATTCCTCAAATCCCTCATCACCTGTACCCAGAATCGTGCCTGAAAGAATCAAGGATAGAGAGACATCAATGAATAAATGTACTAGTTTCTTCTAAATAGCTAGTCATACAGAATAAATGAAGAGCTTGAATTACAAAACAATGAGTAAACAACCAAAAACTATATTAAAAATCAGATTTTAGGTACTAAAAGATGGGTAGAAAGCAAGTAGACAATCTATAGGCTCTCCCTGCTGAGACACATGGGTTTAAACCTAAGCTCCACCACTGTGGTAGGCTGCATTAAGGGCTCAGGTTGTTCACACTTCCCTGTGTCTACGCTGTTATGTTTCTCTGTTCACTAAAGGGGGTTATATTTCCCACACCCTGACTTTCGGTTTGGTTATATGATTTGCTTGGCCATAGGAACAGTGGTGGGTGTGATAAGACAAAAGGCTTCAAAAGGATATGTACAATGGGCTTGTCCCTTGTGTTTCTGTTATGGTCATGAGAATGTCAAGCCTGGGTTAGCCTGTGGTCCCAGGATAAAGATAGATAAGGTACCGGTAGAGTGGCGCTACCACAGGGGATCTGGAGACCCACGAGCTAGTAACTTAGTGCTTTTGCTTGATGTGGCTGTGATTTTTGTAGTGGTTACTGACACATTATTCCTGTGGCCACAGCTGACTGAGATACAACCACCTGCCAGCAATTTGATATGGAGCAAGTTGCTACACCTATCTGAGCCGTAGTTTCCTCATCAATAAAAGAAGAGGTACTTTATTACTTGTTAAGAAGATCATTGGGAGGCCAAGGCAGGTGGATCACAAGGTCAGGAGTTTGAGACCAGCCTGACCAACATGGTGAAACCTCATCTCTACTAAAAATACAAAAATTAACTGGGCATGGTGGCACGCACCTGTAATCCCAGCTACTCAGGAGGCTGAGGCAAGAGAATTGCCTGAACCTGGGAGGCGGAGGTTACAGTGAGCCCAGATTGTGCCACTGAACTCCAGCCTGGGCAACAGAGTGAGACTTTGTCTC